TCAGCATATAAAAATTTATGTTGAACCTCACAGAGAGAAATTTTTTTGAAGCACACCTTGCCACATCGTAAACTCAGTCTCAGTGGCACAAACATTGTGAGAAACCATAAATTAGATCTCCTGAATTGAGAGCCTTTTGTATAACAAGGCTATAGAGTGGGGAAAGATCTTTACTTATCATAAACCCCTTCCAAAAATATATGAAGAACTCAAGAAATTAGTTATTAAAATTTAATCCAATAAAAATATTTGTTATAGACCTAAACTGAAAAACTCTCAACAAAAGAACCCAAAAATGACTGAGAGACACCTAAAAAATGTTTGAATATAACCTCCTTTAACTGTCAGAGAAATGTAAATCAAAACTCTGAGATTTTACCTTATCCTTGTAAAAATGACCAAGATTAAAAATTATTGTAACAACCTATGCTTAAGAAAACGTGGGTAGGGAAAACACTCGCTGGAAATGAGCTGCAGCCCTTGGCGGCAGCGGCAGTGCTGGGAGCGGTGACCGGTGTTGGAAGTGCATACTGACACAGTCATCCCTATATCACATACAGCATTGAAAAACCTGAACAAATCCAGACTCTCCCAGCAGGAAGAGAAAAATCAAAAATCCAGGATTAGCCAATGAGGGCACCAGACCTCATTCCAGATGGTTGTGAGCCACCACGTGGTTGCCGGGAATTGAACTCTGAACCTCTGGAAGAGCAGACAATGCTCTCAACCACTGAGCCATCTCTCCAGCTCCCCCAGCGGGAAGAGGAGAATCAAAAATCTAGGGCTAGCCTGTTCAGCAACCCTGCACCAGGAACTAACTCAATACAAAACCAGACTGCAATCTTGAAAAACTAGTTTTCCACCTGCAATTATCACAGTACTGTTTTAGGAACTAGCTGATTATGACCCTGGGAGTGGTCCCGAGAGGCAGGGAGCTGCACCTCTGGGACCATCACTGGGTTTTTGAAATTTTTATGACCTTTCTGGACCACGGGGCTGTGGTCTCTTCTCAAAAATTCTTTTTTCCCCCGGTCACTTGGGGTAGAACTCCTCCCCCACCAACCAAGGCCATGTGCAAGCAACCTCAGCAAGGACAGTCTTTGGCGAACCATGAGGGGGCCGTGCCCTCCCAAGACCTGAGTGAGAGTCTCCCCAGCAGTGAGGGACCTCCATTATGTAAAATTAGGCAAATATCTACCTCAAAACTTAGCAGTAACCCTTTTTGGGCCCAAATACAAAGTTGTTTAACCATACCACAAGGGCACGTGCTCAGCCATGCCCACAGCAGAACTACTATATCATAGCCAGAATCTGAAAATAACCCAGATGTACCTCTTTTACATCTAGGATAAATGAGACATTATCCTTTTAAAATATCCATGAATACCACAAAATATCCTGGAATAACTTTAAGCAAGCAGGACAGAAGTTTTTGGGTCCGTCATCTCTGCCTGTGAAGGCGGAAATGTTTTTTACTTTTAACCATTATCACTTGTTTAGAGTATAACTCTGGCCCTTGATAAACTTAAGAACTCAGCATTCCATCCTGAAGCCACACCTGGCAGCAGGAAAGAACCTCAAGCTGAAACATTACGATTCCCACCCAAGAGCGGGCCGTACAAATGAAAAACTTGTCGGATAAGAATTTTAAATCTTGAAAGATCCCCTACTTTCTTGCGAAAGCAGAAGAAACACAGCAAAAATGACAATTTCACTGAAAGCAGTTTACGGATTCAGTGTAAATGTCCATTAAAAATTATAGCAACATTTCTCACAGAACTCACATATAGATTTTATGTAAATGTTCATTAAAATTATAGCAAAACTTTTCACAGAACTCGAAAGAACAATATAGAACTCAAAAGAACAATCCTCAACCTTATATGAAAGAAATAAACACTCAGGATAGCCTAAACAATTCTAAAAATCCTCTGAATGCATCACAATCTTTGATTTTAAAATTTTTTCTACAGAAACACAGTACTGAACTTAATCTACATTAGATATAAACTTTTACACCTACAAACTAAAGATTTTTGACCAAGAAGCAAGATTTTTAAAATGGAAAAGAAGCATATTTACTGTCCTAAATGCAGCTGCAGCTTTTTGAGTCTTGACTCCTTTATAGCAAACCTGCCTGTCAGCTTTCGCTCCATGTGGCAGGCCATGTGCTCTCTAGCCCTAGCAGCCAGCCTGCTTGGCAGGAATAGCTGTGTGGATTGTATCCTAATTTCTCCCATCTCGAGGGACTCCCTTTTGAGTCCGCAAGCAAACATATAAAGCAAACACATAAATCTCTGTTTTTGACTCTTACTCCTCTGTCCCTGAGTGAATGCTTAAATTCCTGTATGAATTTCTCTTCCTTTGAAAGTGATTGTCTCACCCCTTGTGGGACGACGGTGACCTGCGCCTACCTCCCGTCATGCCATCTGTCCGAGTACTACAGCCACAGAACCTTCTTTTTTCTTCTTGTTGTCATCCTGGGACTGCGCGATGTCGTCCGATAGCTAACCATACTCCGAGTCACTGGTTCGGGCGCCACTGTGGATTGCATTTGGGGGTCTGGGTTACTCAGTCTAGGGGTTTGTAACCCACCCAGCAATCAAGTTATTCCAGGGTTTCGGAGGGGCGCTACCTGGAAGGGAATGAGCTAAGACAGAAGAAGGAGGCCAAGCAGATTTGTCAAAGCCTCCGGTTTATTAGGGACGGGTTACAGTTTATATATGGTAAGGAATGGGGGGCAGGGTAACTGGATCTCGCCGGGTGGTTCCGGTCACGTAGGCTAGGTTACATTCGGACGGGTAGGCCAGAAGTCACAAGTTGCCACACCTGGTTCCCTGGATAGCTGGAATGTGAGGCGGATTCTGCTAACTGATAAGTTAATTGGGTGAGGGGCATTCTGCAGACTCCCCAGGGTGATGGTTCCTGTAATGATTGGGGGGAAATGGCTCCTGACACTAAATGGAAAGATTACAGGCTTTAACCAAAAGATGCGGTGTCCATCTTTTAAAAGAAACCGACTAAGGTAGCATCACTTCTAGATTTTATCATTTATGCATTTCCTAAAAGACCCCAGAATGTCAATGTCAATTTTGGCAAGAACCTCTTCGTGGCCAAGTGTTATACATTAACATTGTGTCCGGAATGGAGGCATGTGCAAAGAAAGGCAGTAAGACTAACATCCGAAAGAAGTCAGGGGCTGCGGCTGAGGCTCCGTGGTGGACTGCTGGCCTCGGATGCACAGCTCCCTGGTTTTGATGACTTCATCTTAAGAACAGATCTATCTTTGTTATAAGGTCAGCATAAGTTAATTTCTCTTGGTAGCAACTTTCCAGTTGCCCATGCTTTAACCTGTTTCTGGAATTTGACATGCTCCCCACTCTACAGAGTTTGACCAACAGCTTTATTGTATCCTGATAAGATGTTCTATCAAATAGTTTTGGAATGTTCAGTCAAGTTCCTACGTAACCAAATACCTCTAGAAATTCCCCCAATCCTTGAAAATCCCCCGGTGTTGTAGTTTTTCTTTTTAACTAAATAACCCCACTTCTGTGTTTGATACATTTTTCTCAAACCCAACTTAAAGAGATAGCCCTTTCTAACATTAAATAAAAATTGCTTATAAACCAAAAACTGTGGGTAATGGTCTTTCCTCTCTTTAGGTGAGATTAACAATTCCATCCTCAGAAGGGCATAAGCGAGGTATGGCAGCTATGCCTGTTATTCCAACAACAGGAAGCAGCAGTGGGAGGCTCTGGAATTCGAGGTCATGCTGAGTTTGAGGCCACCCTAGGGTTAACTCTGACCCTGTCTCAGAATAAGCAAACAAGAAAAAACAGTTGGAAAGGAAATTCTGGAAACCTTTCTCCACCAGGACAAGTTACACTGTGTAACAAACCACACATATAAGAAATGCCCAGGATAAAAGAGAGATGATATTATGAAAATAACCTATAAAGGGTCAGGAGCTGGGGGGAAAGCAGGCTCGCAAGCTCACAGGGAAAATCACCTTTACTGTGCAAAGCATGAAGCCCTGAGTTCAGTATGGAAGATTGTACAGATTAAAAAAAAAAAAAAAGGTGTCAAGGGTTTGATTGAACCGATGGTCAAAGCATTTGTCAAAAGATGGTCCACTGCTGGGACTGATGGAGCATGTGATCAAACCGGACTCTCTGAATGAGTCGGACAAGGAGGGCTGACTGAGAAGCCAAGGACAATGGCACTGGGTTTTGATCCTACTGCATGTACTGGCTTTGTGGGAGCCTAGTCTGTTTGGATGCTCACCTTCCAAACCTGGATGGAGGGGGGAGGACCTTGGACTTCCCACTGGGCAGGGAACCCAGACTGCTCTTTGGACTGGAGAGGGAGGGGGAGGGGAAGGGAAATGGGAGGAGGTGGAAATTTTTAAGTTAAAAAAAAAAAACTAAGTTTAAGATCCAAGGCATCTTAAACTTCTGATTTAAAGAAATTTTATGTAATAAATTTGTGTTGTTTATAAAAAAAAAAAAAAAAAGATGGTCCACTGAAAAAGTGTTTGGAGACGCCTGATATCCTGTGTCTTAGTGATGAAGGGATTTTAAAGTCCTCCACAACGGAAAGGCCCAGAGGACAAGCCCTTCATTAATCGTGTAAGATGCCAAATGTTGAGAAGAGCACTGCAGACAGATCCTACACCTGAATGTTCAGTGCCAAGTGCAGAACTTCTAGAAGACACTACCGAAACCAGGGCTCTCCAAGTTCAGCAAAATTGACTTCCCTGACAGCAGTAAACACAGCACATGCCCGCTCATTTCCTAGTGACTTCAACAAGGCTGTTTCTAACCACAAACGTCCTCCCTTCTCCGAGCCTCACTCCCCACGTGTTCCGGCGCAGACCTCAGGAAGTTATGCAGAGTTACAGGGACAGCAGGAACCTCGCGGGGCACCGTTTCTACAGCTCAGGGATCCGGCAACAGGCCCCACAGCTCCTCCACTTGTAGAGATGGCAGCCCTTCACTCACCATGGCGCAGATTGTGAGCTCTCCCGGTTCTCTTCACAGCTTCCAGTAGTGGGTGACAGGGCAGCACACGGAGCCACAAGAGCCTCCCTCCGCCGGTGTGCAGATTGCACCTTGGCGGATTGGAAATGTCCTTGCAGATTGACTGGAGGGTGGCTTTGTAGGCTCTGGTTTGCCAGTGAAGTCTGAGTGACAGGAGCAGCTCCCTTAGGAACAGAGTGTTGCGAAGGGACACAGCCCAACGGTATCCAGCCCTGGCTTCCATCCCAGGCACAATACTGTTCCAGACCTGCATTGCAGCAGAACTTGCATCTGGACTGCAAAATCGTCCTTGCACTTCTTCCTCCGGGGCATACACAGATCATTACTCAGTGTGCAGTGGAGCAATCCTCCTGCCTCAAAGCTGAAAGGACCCTCAGACCACGTAGGTCAAATTTAAACCACCTGCTTGATATTCACAAGGTCTCAGCAATTTCGAAAAGGCATGACTAGGACTGCTCACCAACAGGACACTTGCCTAACTTTCCGTGTAATGACTGGATTGCTTTTACTCCGGATTACTCATTAGTGCTTGCTTCTGTGAATTAAATGCACAAGCCATTATGGAAGAACATGTTTTTTTCCATATCTGGACTGTCCTGGTGATTGCATACAGCTTGAACTCATGAGAGTTTGACACATGTGACCTTTCTTAACCATTAGATTAAATTGTCTAGGGCTATGAATAAAGTTGGCTATTGAATGAGACTTTAGTCTGCCTCAGTCACCTGCTCCTTGCCCCCAGTTGCAATGCCTCTCTAGTGGGTCACAGCAGTGTGCCAACACAATCTCCAAACTTTTGCTTTTAAAGGAAGGGTCTCACATGATCCAATGCTTTTAAAATTAGAGCAGTGATAGCTATATAGTGTCAAGGTGAACCCGTTTAAAATGGGGGATTTCGAGGAAGTCAGAAGTTGCCAATGTGTGCTGCCTCTTGGGATCCCTGTAAGAAGATCATGGTTGAGCTCTGCCAGTAGGCTGTGGTGAGCTAAGTGCATCTGTCATTCAAGAAGGAAGACTGGCAGACCAGGAATGCAGTGACCTATTGATGATGCGCACGTGAACTTCACTCAGGAAGAGTGGGCTTTGCTGTATCCTTCGCAGAAGAGTCTCTACAAAGATGTGATGCTGGAGACCTTCAAAAACCTCACGGCTATTGGCTACTATTGGGAAGATCATGATATTGAAGAGCATTCTCAAAGTTCTAGAAGTCACAGAAGTCAGTTTGAAAGGCATGAAAGAATTCATATGGAAGAGAAGCCCTGGGAAGGTATTCAACATGATGAAGCCAATGCATTTCACAGTCGACTATCAATACATTAAAACACACACACACACACACACATACTGGAGAGAAACCCTATGAATGTAATCAGTGTCATAAAACGTTTTTAGGGCATAGTTACCTTCAAAGGCATAAAAGAATATATAGTGGAGAGAACCCCTATAGATGTAATCAATGTAATAAAGCATTTACATGTTTCAGTAGTCTACACAGGCATAAAAAGACACATACTGAAGAGAAACTCTTTGAAGGTAATCAGTGTTTAAAAGCCTTTTAACATCAGAATCTTCTCCAAATACATAAAACAACACATATGGGAGAGAAAGATTATCAATGTAATCAATTTGGTAAAGGCTTACATATCACAATGGTCTTTGAAGGCCCAAAAGAACACATACTGGAGAGAAACCATATGAATGAGTCAGTGTGGTAATGCCTTTGCAAGTCACAGTAATCTTCAAAAACATAAAAGAAGACATATGGTGTGGGAAGTCCTTTGTATATGTGTTGCTTCTATTGGTTGATAAAGAAGCTATTTTCAGGGGCTGGAGAAATGGCTCAGAGGTTAAGAGCACTGACTGCTCTTCCAGAGGTCCTGAGTTCAATTCCCAGCAACCACATGGTGGCTCACAACCACCTGTAATGAAATCTGGTGCCCTCTTCTGGCCTGCAGGCATACATGCAGGCAGAACACTGTCTACATAATAAATAAATCTTTA